TAACAGAGATTTCATTATTAATTGCGGTTAAGATGATTGGCGATTGCATGAATGAAATAAGGAAAAAAAAAGAGAACATCGGCTATTGCAATATAATGACTTTAGGGCCTTAAAAGTAAACCAATTGAAGCTATTCATTCCGATGTGTGACGTGATTTCTAAAGGAGGGCACCAGTTAACGTGAATTTTTTCTCTATTCGAGCAGCGAAGTTCGAAGAGGTTAATTAACAGCTTCCTTGACTTAAACGCTACTTCGGAACTTCGATGTTCTCAGCTGTTATCCGACAATAGCCTAGGAGCGTAATTACTCGATACAGCCTTCGACGCAGCTATTGTTCAGAACTTATATTGATATTGAGGAAATGCGTGAAGACATTGATTTAATCGGAATTAACGCAATATTCTCGGTCTTAATTAAAAACATCGATCTAATCAGAGTCGATGCGATGTTATAAATATCGAGAAACATTAAAAAAAAAATGATTAGAAGAAGAATACTGTACCTTTCTTAACGTTTAGTATACAACCATTTGTTTTATTAATTCTATACATGTTATAAAATCAAATAAGGTATTTTATAACTGTTATATTTAATTGGATACTAAAACGTTAATGTCGTAAGACACGTGAATATAAGCGCCGAACGGAAAGTCCTTACGATTTTACGTGACAGCAACGCTCGCTTAAACGTGGCCGCAGCGGACGAGATTGCGGCGACTCTCGTCCATGCTGTAAACTTCGGTTAATTAAGCGGCGGATTTAATTCGGGGTGCGGGGTGCGCGCCGCGGCCGGGGGCCAATTTTCCGCGAATCGTCATTTATCGGGGCCGGCCTGCAAGGGTTATGCAAATTACGCCGCTGGCATAATTCAGCACCGCCGGCAGCTCGCCGTTGCGCGAATTAAAGCCGGGCGTTCCCATGCAAATGCCTCGCGTAGATGGTTGCGGTGTGTCGTTCTGGCTCGAAGGAAGATACGCGGTGACACGAGCAAATCAAGACATTGATACTCGCTTACCGCCCCGAAGGAAATGGAATTACATGCTGAATAAATTCCCAAAGTATTTTACCGTCTCGGTTTACACCCCACGATACAATACGCTCGTTTCTTCGACGGTATCAGAATACGAATAGAAATTTTTCGTTACGCAATACTTTATAAATTATGTTATAGTTATGTTTCTACAATCTAGAAAATTTTATTAATGTCAATTGTTGTAAGACAATAAAACAAATGTAATATTTTATGTAAATTTTAACAACGTCTATGGAAAATCTTAAAGAAGTAAATTAGAGATATTTTTTGTTTCAAAAATATTTTCAGATTAATTGTAATACAACGAAATGTATATCTTATTCGTATGAAAATAAACAAAAGATTCACACGCATAACGAAACGAAATAAGTGATGAAATTTGTATAATTATATAAGTTTTTTCGTTTTGTAATTACGTTTTATAATTATTTAAATCGGTCCTTTCGATAACAGTTTCAATCCAGACTGTACATACCGTCCACATATATGGAATACGCGCGAAATTTCCTACTACCTTTTAGCCACGGATGTCGTGGAATTCCACGACGAAATTGTTTCGGAACTATGTGGTTGGCTTTTTGTTTCGGTACAGCGCTACAAAAATCCTGGCGAACGACAGTGAAAAAATGCTCTTCTTTCTTTCGCTACCGTTTTGGCGGTGGTTTCCGCTTCGGAAATTTTCACTCGTCGCAAAACTTTCTCGTACACGCTTGCGCGCACAAGCGGTTTTTCGAACATTTTTAATGCCAGCCGCTAACGAGTTAACTTGATGAATGGCAATATTCCCCCCCCTATTATTACATCGCTATTTTATCGCGACGCACGTTGTGCCGGTATCTAAATTTTCAACATCGTCATGCGTTTAATTATTCGATCATATTTATCATACATTTGCATAAACAGTAAACAAACATTCTGTATTTTAACATATTTTAGAAATCCCGCGAATATGATATAAAACAAAAACATTAATTGAAAAATATGTTTTGGGAAAATAAGATAGAAAGAGATATGACAGAAAAAGATATGACGAATGTGATCACAGTAAAAAAGGAATACTTACTGTTGTCGGATAACGATTAACTTAGTCTGTGAAATATTTCCGCTTCGTTTAAAACGAAGGAAATTTTAAAGCGCGCACGTAAAAGGCTGGTTAATTAATTCGACACGCATAATTCTTCGCCGCATCAGTGGCTGTCCGTAATTTCAGTTTTCGTCATTTACGATTGGATTCCCCAAGCGCGAGAGTCCGACACAGCCTTCGATAAGATCTCAGCTGCCTCCATATGCATCCCTCTTCGGTCTTTCTTTCATTAGTGCACGCGGCAAGCTTCCCGAAACGATCGTATATTCTTCTCATCCTCGGGATCCTCCTTCATTTCCTTTCGACGAAAAGTAATTATTTGAAAGACGATATACCGTCGGGTTTCGCGTTACACGCGGGCTCGGCGACCTGTAACGCCGTACGCCAACCGCGACGTGTGCATCGTTACCCGGAAAACTTGTACGCGTCTTTTTACAACCATGTTTTATTACGAGTAGATCTCACTTTGCAGACAGCCTGCGTGCGCATCTTCCGTTTTTTAATAGGACCGCGTTGCGATAAATTCACCGACGTTTTACTTAATAGCTACCGCCATTCGAATCTTAAAGCACTCGTTACGCTCGTACGCTCGGGAAAGGGTATCTCCGCTCTGGATTTTAATACTCACGGATTCACGGTAAGATATCACGGTGTGACGCCTCGATATCATCGTGAGGTAAAAATTAATCTTAACCTGGGCGTAGACCTGCGGTTGAAAATGCCGACGGGTGACGTTGTGTTTGGTCACCCCTAGCGCGTAGGCCTACCGCGCGAATTAATGACTTTACCGGTCGCACGTACGAAGCCGATACCACGTCATTCGATCGCGATATGTCTGGACGATTCATAAACCAGCCCCTCGAGCGGCACCCCCTCGCGCGCGCGCGCGCGCGCGCGGCGGGGTGTTTCGTACGCACGGTAGAACCGGGGTCCGGTATAGGCGTGCGGTGCGTTACCCCACGCGTGTGCGTGACTCCACGGTGCGTTAACGGAAGCGAGTAAAGCGCCGCGCGCGTACTATCTGATTTGCCGATCCTTCTCGTAATTGCCTGTAGATCCCAATCGCGATTAGCCGGGAAATTAATACGATCCTGTGTCTGCGATTTATGTGTGACCCACCCGTGAATTACGCACGCACCGTGTCGGTAACTCGTGCGTAACCGCGACGTCATATAACATTGAAAGAAACCGTCCAAGAGCGCAAACGGACGCCAGCTCTTCCAGCGCTTATCGCGGACAATCGTGCGTGGACTCTCGGAGCATGATATTGTGCTGTTTCCAGGACGATAGGACCGTTTACCTAATAAACTCACGTTGAAGACGGCCAATAATAATTTTAGTTAATCTTTTTAAATGGGGAACTGCGATCAACGTTAGTCAGTTCTGCTTCTTCTTGTTATGTGTAAGAAACGCGCGTTAGCATAAATCCATTAGAAACTTTATCGATACGCTACGGATATCGCTTTTCTTTTTCTCTATTTACTTTGACTTGATTCTAATGTATCTAGTTCGTGTTCCGAAAAGAAGTGACATTTTAGTGTTACTAGGCATCGAACGATCGATTCCGCATTCCTCTACGCAGCGAATTTTCGATTGAAAGAAGTGGAAAGATAAATGGAGGCATCGCGAGAGGAATGAAAAAAGTGAAAATCTATGGGAGAAGGGAAAAGAAAAAGAGAAAGGTATTTGAACTCGTGGTTGGCGAATCGCATAACGTTAAAGGGTGGTCTCTCTACACCATCCCCGGCGACTCGGGTCAACAGGCATTGTCCGGTGGAATTACCACCAACGGGCCCCTGTGATTAAATGCTCCGCCTCTCATGCATCCAAGAGAATCTACAGAGCAGACGGATAGGAAAGGAGAGAAAAGAGAGAGGGGGGGGGGAGAGAGACGAAGAAGAGAGAAGAAGAAGAGAGAAGAGAAGAGACGCCACAATATATACCAGAGAGAGAAGAGAGAGAGAGAAAGCAAGTAATGGAAATGGTAAAGGGAAAGCGGAGGTGAAAGGGAAGCGGCAGGAAGCAGAGGAATACGTGCATACCTATACGAGGGCTGCTGGTTCTGCCATCCGTACTTGCATACCTATACCTTGCCGAACCCCTCGACCCTAACCCCTATACGGTGACGAGATAATGCCCATTGTTTCGAGCATCCTACGCATCCTTGGTTCAGGACGTGATACCTAGGAGCCTTCCTCAAATGCTTGCATCGCGATACGATACATCCAAATGGTACCTAAATACCTGTCTAAATGCGGCAGCAACTGGATTCTCCAATGGGCTTCCGCCTCGTCCGATTCTGCTCAAGGACTGCCGGATACCTGGGCTGACGACGATTGGCATTCAGGTGCAAATTGGGCACACGCGGCCATGAATGTCATCTGTGATTTCCGACCTTCCCGAGCGCTCAGTCATGTTGCTCGTTAAAGCGCGTCTCATTAGATGGAATTTGCACCAATTATCGGATACGATTGATCGGAAATAATAACCAGAAGTAAATTATTATTGATATTGATTTAATGATAATGAAAAAGATAAATCGCAATTTAATAAAAATTTAATTTAAAAAATTAAAGTGACAGATAAAATTTTGTTACGTGTTTAATAGTTAATGAAATATATTAATCTAAAAAAATTACGAAATGTAATAAAATAAATATTACGGCATATTTTATTATTATAATTTGTATTTTTAAAAAAATATTGTTTTTATAAATAGAATATCATCAATTAGATATAATTTATTGTAAAATCAACTTAAGGATATATATTATTTCAATTATTAAAAAACAGACGTAAGAAATAAATACAAAATAATCATTTTTTAAAAGTATTAAATTATATAAAAATAAAAAATAGGAATATTAGAAAAATGCAGTATAATATTTGTTGTAAACTTTTATGTACAAATATGACCAATGTTTATACAACATATGTTCCTACGTCCATTTTGCTAATACCGTATAATAACTACTCTATGTACAAAATTTTGGTTTTTTTGTATTACAAATTTGCATTTCGTTTGGTTATGTAGGCAGTGTAAATTTTTCATGATCGTTTAGATCCATGGCCCCAGACGACTCTCAAGTACGTTGGCTGCGTCAACGCGTCCCATCAGTCTTAAATGATTCAGTAAATCTGCTAAAGCCGTGGCTTCGCGATGCCTGGCTTCCCATAAGTCCAAAATATGTTCCGTTGGACTCGCCTTTGTTGCAAAGTAGTCGACATATCTTAAAATATCACCTCGGTTTAAATCCATTCATTTCATAAATCCGTAAAAAAGAAGACCAAATGTTGCAAAAGATTATAACTCACCGGTCTACTTGCAATCTTTGAGCCAGCATTCGCCAATCATTACCGCGTGCACTTGGCGGATCCAGACATTGACATAATTGCTTTCTAAGCGTCTTAGAAAATCTGCAGTAATCACAATAAAAATTTACACACATGGATACACGCATACATTAACTTCATTATATTTTTATCGTCATGAATATAAAATATATTCTAATCTCATTCTTAATTATATAAAAAGTACCTGAATGGTCTCGGTATGACAGATTCTGTGGATCTCGCTGAATTTTTCCCTCGTAGAACAACAGAATATTCCGTTTTGCTACCGTTCCTCTTTCCACTCAAATTACTCCTTTTTACAAGATCGAGATCAATCCTGAGAAGCGAGCCTTGATCTTCGAAACCACGTTGATAAGCACGAAGCTCAAAGCCAAGCCTGAGATCGCCAACGACTTTTTCTATCCTAAAGGAACGCCGGATACTAATCCTCGAGGATGCCCAGATACGCCGGTAAGGTACTTCCTGTCGCTCGGCAAAACCGCTCTCTCTATCTTCGAGATCGACGCGAAGCGACGTGCCGCTGGCGCGAAACCCGAGAGTACTATGATCGATATAAATGCTACCCAAACGACGTTCCTGCGGAAAAATTATGCGCAATTCGCGGGAATAATGATCGCAAGAAGGTACAATTATATAAATTATAAGAGTATTTCCCATATAGTACTTTCATATACATTTAATAAAATTTAAAATATACATTTCACACTCACCTGTTCACTTATGAGTTTAAACGATGCTTTGGTGTCTTCGAGGACGTGACATTTAATGTGATCGCGCTCGCGGGACGCGAAAACTGCAACGCAGAGACGCTTCACGGCTAATCCGGGTGCAACCACTGAATTTTCTCCAGCCACCGCGTACACGCTGGGTGTCTCCGTGACGAGGAACACACCGGCGTGATCGAGCTGGGCGAACGGTTGACCGGGCAGATTCGTCGGATCGCCGCCGAGCATCAGCACCTTGCGCCACGTCGTCGCGGACGGCGAACCGCTCGAGCTCGCCGACGAATTCGTGGAATTGTTCGAACGTGTCTCTAAATCGATCTCCGTGGACCACAAGCTCAGCTCCCAATTTCCAGTTCTCAGCTCGGCACAGTGCTCGAATTGAAGTATGACCGGCTTCACGAGATCGACACTCGCGGGACCGCAGGTCACCACAGCGGACAGTAACGTGAATCCGGGTGGAAGATTTGGTCTGAAGGAATTTTCTCCGAGTACAGCGAGATGCAGACTGTGTCGGCGACCGCGCGGAATCGCACCTTCCGGCACCGACATCGAAACGCCCACCTCGGGTACGACTAAAAGGGCACCTTGCTCGTCAATTATAGCTCTCACGATAAAACCACTACCGTCATCTGTCGTGGATCGTTCGTTCTCATCCGACCTTTCATCGTCGTCCTGCTCGTCATCGTCCTCGTTGGTGCTTTCTGGATTCGCCTGATACGTCGAACCTGAGAATATACGTGTAAAATTCGTCATAGATGCTTTCGCCCATACGCGAAGAATGTAAAAGGAATTTAAATTTAATAACTAATAAATATTTTATGATATCATTAATTCTAAATATTTTTACGATATCATTTCAAAATGAGTTTATTTCAAAATAAATAAAAGATCTCTCCAAGGTATATATATATATATTTGTTCTCGGATTATTTGACAGAGAAGTAGATTTATCGGAACTGATTGTATAAAGAGAGCTCGTGCTCTCAAATTTATGAGAATTTCTTACGAGAAGACCGTCCCTCCTCATTATCCGACATGCCGCGTCCTCGTTGCGAGTTCTTGCAAGAAGACCTAGTTACAGAAGAGCTCGGCGATGGTCTCGTTGTCGACGGTAATGACAATTGCGGAACGTCATAATGATGCTCGGAACAGGATCTGCACATTGCGCCAGCGCATCGTAACATTTTGTTAAATATAACTGAATGCTGATTCCGCACCAAGTACCACATTCTCGTTATTTTGATTGGTACACATAGATATACCTGGGTAATCTTGCGGCGTTTGATTCATCAATCACATGTTCGAGACGTCTGTCGCTGGCCAAACCGGAACGTTCGTTTTTAGAAACGACCGATTTTGCGAGATCACCCGGACGACGGAAGTCCAATCTCGCAACGCCGTACAACGCTTCCATTCTTTCTTTCCGGCGCATTAAGCGAACGAAGAAAATCGTCGTCACGGCCAGAATTATCGCGGCTAAACTCAAAGTGATCCACAATGCGAGGATATTTCTGTAATCGACCGCTCTAGTCGCTACAAGGAAAAATATCCCTTTCTTTTCTTTTCGTTTTAGATGGAAGCTTTTTAAAAATAATTCAACCGTTTTTTACCTTCCTTGAACACTCTTGGCCCATCTTGTCCAAGTGCTGCGTGCGACAAGGAGGGAAATGTTCGAAATAATAAAGGTGTACTATGTAAAAGTTTACATCGATAATTTACATTGCGAAACTACGGGGCCTAGAATAATTAATCACATTTTGAAAGGCCCTCGCAGATTTCAATTTATCTACCGGCATTTATCGATGAGTCACGCGCGTGGTGCAAAGTCATCAAATTCACGAATAACAATCGAATGCGGAGCTAAAAGGCCGCTCGTTCCAATAAACGTTAGGCATTGAGCGCGAGTCACGAAGAACAATAAAAAGCAAAAAACTCCGAGGCGTGGGGCTCACCATTACATCGATCCGCGGAGCAGGACTCGACGATGACGTCCTTGCCTTGACAGGGACGACCGCCGTTACTCGGCGGGGGTCATTGCAAGATCTCCTCCTTACTCGCGAACAATCAGGACCGCATGCGGACCACGAGGACCAAGTTGACCATCTGCCATCGACCGCTGCGTGCAACAAGAGGAAGTTGAAAATCTTGATTAAATTGCGATTATCTGATTTGCGAGACGGCAAAAGAATAGATACATCTGTACCGCGTATCTCGATCAGGACGCACACTCATGGCGCGCATTAAACGTTTAGCACAATTCAATACCTGTATTCGTGTTAACTCGTATATACTATTACAATTTCGCGACACACTATTACAATTTGATCCATATTATTTTGAGCGGCGTATGAGTTAGTCTTTGTGCTGTACCTACCGGGGCAGGAAGGATTGCATTCTACCCTTTGCGTGGCTGGCCCTGGACACGTTTGACCGCCGTTGATTGGAACGGGATTTGTACATGTTCTTGTCCTCTTTTGTACTCCTCTACCACAGCGAACGCTGCACTCTGACCATCCGGACCAGGACGACCACCCGCCGTTCACTGAGAATGGATCGGGAAGAGAGAAAAAAAAAAAAGGATACACCGGCGAAATTAAAACGGGAACAAATAACACCTTGTTACACCCCGCGGCTCGAGCAGGCCAAGACGTGAGTGAGTTGCTTATCCAACACAACGCCAATTAAAAATAAGAAAAATCAAACTTTAATCATCGTGAAATCTGCAATCGCATTCACTCTGCATTTTGTTATTGAGAGAGATATAAATAGACGATGAATAGAGCACAGAATAATGCAATGACATAATGACTATACAATTATCATTATTGAAATATAGATGTATGTATGTATGTATGTATGTAATAATATTAATTTTAGATCAAACATCAAGAGAAGCCTAACTTGATCGGATAAACTGTTATAAAACAACAAGTTCTTTTAATATCTTTATCCATTCACGCTTCCTCAATTTTTGCGTTTCTCAACCACATCCGTTCTGCGATTTGTATAGCAAAAAGAAAATTGCTCACCGTAGACGGTGAGCACCGCCGGTTCGCTGACTCTCCTCGCGGCAATGTTCTCAGCGACGCAGGAGTAGTTCCCTTGATGCCTCAATTCGGCTTCCCCGAGGAGCAGATGCCCGTCGGCGGATTGTACAAAGCCGGTCGCGGAGGACATTTTGTTGGGGTTCGCGTCGGAGGAGACGGAAGCTGCGCCGGCGGCGGTCGTCTCAAGAGGAGAGCCGTTTCTAAGCCAATAAACCTTCGGCGGTGGTACACCCAAAGGCGGCGAGCATCGCAGTTCCGCATTGCGGCCGACTTCCACCGACAGCGAATATGGCGGCGACAGGAAGTGCTTCTTCAGATCTACATCGGCGCGATCGGGTCGCGGTACCAAGCGGTTTTTAATATTCGCTCGAGAGGAGACGTCGAGATGAGAAGCGGAAAATGGAAATGGGGGAAAGAGGGAAAGGGCTGAGTGGCACTCAGCGATATTAGGGCGCGTGTACAGACGAGCGAGAGAGCTTTCATGGATTTCTCTGTCCGGTTCTCGCCATCGGAAGGACGGAAAAAGATTTGCAGCCCGTGAACCACGGAATGTATAACGGCGGTCATTCGTTCAGCGAGGCTATCCGTCGCGGCATTATTTGCCGTGCCACGTCTACGTTCAAAAAGCGAAGCTTTCATATCGCTCGTGAGGAGCATAAGCACCGACCGAAGCTATGGCATAGTACCTCGGCGCGGTGGTTACGCGCTTTAGAGGCGGAATTCTATGCCGCGGTATGCAGACCGGACTGATGGATGATACGTCTGGCATCACAAAGTGTCCGCGTTATGGACCATCTACGCCGATTCAAATGCATTCCGGCTTATGTTGCCTTCGCCCCCTCCCCCCCCCCCTTCTCCCCAGCTTCGAAATATTTTTCGTGTGATACGTGTCATAAAATGCTAAATATCATTTTAAAACGCTATAAAATTTTATACTCATACATGCTTATTCTATTCGATTTAAATTTAGATTTACGTGTAATAATTCATAATGATAACTCATCGTAAATAATTATATCTATTTCCAACACAATCATTTGTATAATTTCTTATTTCAAACACTATTCAGATTGTGCAATTTAAATGTCACTCATTTCACTTTCTTCATCGCATGTTCGAATGCAATTCATGTAATCATAAAATACTCAAACGTTAGATATATGAATAGAGTTCAAGATGCGCTATAATATCCATTAAATTAATTGCTAACATTCTGTTTATTTAAAAAGAGAATAAGATCGTTGCGCAGAAAATCATTCCATTGGCGAATCGGTATACATCGATTCGATCGACATCCTGCATTCAATTTCGAAAGCGCGTCCGCTTTCTGTTTGCACGCAAATACCGATTTAATTTTGCATCCTGTTTGCTACGCTTGTTTGCGCGGCGTGGTGCGACTCGAAATGTCTAAATGAAAATTGCTCTTGCATTGCACCTTTTACGAAACGCCCAATCCCGAAGCAATCCCGCATCGTTATTGGAATCACATACACGAAATACCAAAATACACTTTTCATATGGTTTATCGCGATGTATACGCGACTTTATTTTAGCTTTGATAACCGACGAGTGTTCTCCAATGAATAACAGAGATCCTCCCTCGTTTCCAGGACTGAAAAAAATGCAATGCTATTCCGCTTACGCGTCTGTCATTTCATTTACGATAGAACATCGATTAGATTTTGTACTCGATTTGCGCATCACAGGACACTTGATGAAAACCGAATCGCATTCACTCGGTCCCTTTAATTTGTTCCTTCAGCTCTCTTTTTACTACAAGGTGCGGAAGGGGGGAAAGAGAAGAGTTGAGTTTTACATTGAGTTTCTTCAAAAGCTTTAAACGGAAATCATATTAAGAAAATCACATTAATAAAGTTACGCTAAATAGCGGTATAATAGAATAACTGAGACGGCTCATTTGATAAAACATAATTTGCACGAGACGTTTCTGAGACAACTTTTCATAGGCGCAACATGTAAATATTTGCTAATACTTACACGTTACAGTATTGTCAATAAACATGATATAAATATCAATAATTGTAACGATACAATTTTACATACGATACAGTCTGAACTAACACATATGCAATTGCAAAAACGGCCGAAACACGTCGTTACACGATTGTTCAAAGGCCTCGTTCTTCCCCCTCGTATTAGCGTGAGCGAAAGTGACGTAATCTCCTGAGTTAGAGCACCTCACGTACCGCGGAAACGAGCGGCGTGGTCATTACCGCACAACGAGAGAAAGAAAAAAAATCCTTTCGTCGCGTCGGTAAACTGAACATTCAAAGAGAATCGAGGGAGGACAGGAGGACATAGGGTGGCAAGGAAAGAGCGGGAGAGAAAGAGAATGGAGAGCTCTCTACTTACAGGCGACCTCAACCGTAGCGGGCTGCCCTCGAATTTGACCTGGTCCCGACCATGCCACGCACTCGCACTTGAATCTCTCCCTCCCAAAGTACTCCTCGACCTCGTTCCTCGTCACGTTCAACTCGACCTCGACGACCCTCGTCCCGGTACGAGGGTCGACGAAATCCTGCTGCTGCGAACGCTCGGCCCGGTCACCGTTGCAGCGAAAATACACCTGCGGAAAAGAACGGCGGAGAGAGCCGGCGGGGTGTATAGTTTCGCGTGCCATGAAAGAAACAGCTTGTCTTCGTTAAATTGCGGCTAAGTAGGTAATAAGAACGAGGAGAGAGAAAAGAGAGAGCTGCGCACGAGACTCGTGCCAAGAAGGAGATAAAGACAAAGGTGTTTTGTAAAAAGTCCTAACGAAGATTGCGTGCGTTGTAAGAACGTCGGGGAAATGATACTTCTATGTACTCAAACAATGCCACAAAATAATTGGCGGCAATAAGAAGATATCTAACAAAGGAATAAATCTTGGTAAACCGTAAGGTAAAACCGTATTATATAAAAATGCAAATTAAGCAAAAATTAATACAAAAATTATTACTATGCATTATTATTATACATACCTGCAGTGCATGAGCGGCACGACAATGTAAGGTCGCCGGTTTTCCTTTGATGACAAACGTATCGGTAGGTTCCACCAAAAAAATCGGCAGAGAACCGCCGACGATAAGATCGGTGTCGCTGGTTATAGTCGCGGTCTCGTAGTCATTGTAATCATAATCTTCGACGGGATAGCTATCCTCGTCGTCTTCCTCGGCGTCGTCCTCTTCCTTCGTACCTAGCGGGTAACGCAGCACACGTTTTATATCTCTTGCGGGCGAAAAAATCGATAATTCGAGCGCGGTTTATTCCGCAAATCCGGTAAAGCCGTCAGCATAATCCCTCGGCGGCATTACCCATACGTCCCCAAAATTTTTCATATCGGATCGATTGAATTAAATCGTCGCCGCGAACTCGCTCTTGGTCCATCGAAGGGATTAAGCCGCGTCACCACGATAAAGAGAAACGGCGATGGAGACGCGTTATCGGATTACTAATGGCGCATTATCGGATCCAATAACGTTCGAAACGGCGATCCCTTTATATCCGATCGTCTTCTCTCGGAAGTGTATCGTTATCCGAAAGACACGCGCGCGTTCGCGACGTCGCGATATATTTAGACGTCGAGTCGGATACGATGGAACGATAAAGTCGGACTTAACGATGCGTGGCGGATTTTACGCTGTGTATCAGCCGGCGGGGCACGCTCGCCTTTAGATCTCCCGGACTTTACGCTTCGTGTTCGCCGTCCCGCTCCTAAGTCCCGCGGGAACTTTATTACACCCAGAGTAACTGCATCTCTCCTGTTTGAGTCGTCGCGGTAAACCAAGCACTGGCGGACGATGATTACCCCCGCTGTCACGCTCGTGAGAAAACATGTCACGATCCGCGGCGACGGGTTTTCGCGAGGAACGCGAGGCGTAAATTTACGCCACAATTTGCACGCCCGCCGGAAGCGAGCGAAATGAATTTTTAGCCGCTCCGGAAAATGTCAGAGAACTTCCGCGTCGCTGCGGTAACTCTGCTTATATAAATTATATAAATATTTAAATAATATTTCAAGAAATCAGTTTTTTTAGGAGTATTTAATTTGACATTCGCTTTTAATAATAAATCTATTATCCGAGTTCAGATAACAAGCAGGCGAGACACAAGTACTTCGTGCAAATTAATTTAATTGTTTATTAATTGTTTAAACGCCTGTTATAAATTAAGTGAATTTGTTAATTTATCGAAAATAGTTGACAATTTCATTACTCAAATCCGAGTTTACTACCTTATACTTCGTTACTCACTTTCAAGCGTGCTAGCAAGGCGGAGAAGCGTTAAAAGAAGAATACTGATCCTCAGCTCCATTGTTACCTCACATTTCACTCAAATTGACTTTTTATTCAATGCCACTCAGAGAAACTAAGCACAATAAACTTTGTATTCTATGCCGACACGTTTTATTGGCATCGCGTTTGTTATTCACGAACGATTTTGATTTCATAGTCGATGATCATTGTCGAATTTCATTTATTATTTTCTATAATTTTAGCAAATATCCGCGATAGGCGATCGTGTGTTATCACCGATGAATCGTGCATCGAGACGGATCGAAGTCATCTTCGATCGAATGGAGGTGGAATCAATTTCGATCGGCTGTTCGTACGCAAGAATCATATCACGGTAAGTCCAAAGCGTCATATTCACCCCGTATATTTCAATTTTTTAATCTGCAGGAAACCCGTCTCTTAAAAAAAAATGCCACCAATAATTAGTCGCGGCTCATCTTGAGGATTGTATGACGAATCTGAACGAGAGTGCTCGCACTTGCATGGTTGCACTCGCGTTCAAGTGTGCGAAAGGGGGAGGACACGTGACCGGCTTCGAGTCCCTCGCACACGCCAGCGAACGAAACAAGGGAAAATGAGGAATTTGCTAAGGGAGGGTGGTTATACGATGCTCGCGGGTCGGCACGCGGTGGACGACTGAACTTGCCGACGTGCGCGCACCTCTATATATACATATATATACGTCTCACTTCGATACCGACGCTCTTCTTCATCCCCTTGTCGTCGGGGGTGCTGCTGCTCGCTGCTGCTGCTGCTGCCAGTGGTGGCGGTATCTGCGGCGGTGGTGGTGGTGACGTTGATGGTGGTGGTGGTGGTGGTAGTGGTGGCGGTGATGCCGGAGGCTGCGCTTTCTTCCGCGAATGTTCTCCTTCCGCGTTGAGCGATGATCGACACATCACTCTCACACAAGATGTACGTCCCTCCAACTCTTATATTCGCTATGCAACTTGATTAATCCTCAATCTTATTTCTGACGTATTGACTATAAAATATTTCGTTTTAAAATATATTTCTTATCTTCTTCTCCAAAATATATATATATATATATGTTTTTTAAATTATACAAAAAATATAAAATCATTTTTACAGGGATGTAATGGCTGCGGTACGTCCATTTATTTCTGTAATATCCTTACAACTCTTCGTGCTCGGATCGTTGACACAATCAAGTTAAAAATAAAAGAATGATCGAGAGTCATTTGTTTTTTAATGAAGCTCCATTTGTGACTGAGACATTTCTTCGGATAAAGTCAAATACATCGAGAAATGTCAATGCATCGAGAAGCGCATTGTTGGGTACAAAATGTCGATACATCTATTTCTCGACGATTCAATATTCATCTACCCCTTCATTCATGAGCGAGCCGTAAAGCCAGCGCCGTTAGCCTTGAGGTCATTGTTATCGCACCTCGTCTATCGCCGCGCGGTGCTCCGGTAAGGATCGAATGAATATCGTTCGAGCATCCGCTTGATCGAGAAGAGGAGCCTTGGAAGAGAATCCTTACGGGAACATATGGGATTTCCTACGGTCGATCACTGCTCGATCGTGAAATCGGATCTAACCGCGAGAATGAGTTTAGACGCGTCGTCGCGAATGGCGTGACTCCACCAGCGTCACGACTTTGTGCGAGGGTGAGTGTGACGGTAAACGAGCTTCCGAATCGCTTGGTTACACATCCAGAAAATCGATATCTTATTGCTACTTGGCGTAAATAGATCGAAGAGCGTGCAGAACGTGCCGTACGAGATAAAAGAATTCCGGATGAAAATTTGAGACATGTGGATTTTTACAGATATATATGTCAGATAGCGGGCATATTTGAAGAGCAAAACTATATCCCTCGTATCGCGAGTAAAGTTTTTGTATTTTTAGGCATTTATTATCAGACAAGTAAGATCGAGATATCAAAGCTGCAAATATTTTCCTAGGTCCAGTGACCTATTGCATTCCTGAGAATCGACTAAAGTGCCTTGGCAAACATTGAAGCGCACGCATTTCGAACGTCTGTCCGCGAGAGAAGTTCCGTTTCGCTCTGTTTACTCTAAGTATCTCACGCTCAACTAGACAAGAAAATCCTCACGGCACTTGCCCGCCGTAATTAATGATACCCTACGGGAAAGGATTAACGTGTACACAAAGTATACACATTAGTGCCCGATCGGAGTTCGGCATGCATCGCGATAAGGCGTTTAAGGCGCTCCACGCCGGGCATTAAGGTGGCTGCAACATCGAATGGCCTTAATCCGGATCTATATATCGGTGTGTGCTGCCATTATGCATTATACTCACATGTATATCGGTTCGGCGCGACGTCGAAGCTTGACTTATGCCGATGGCCCTCACTCGCAGATGGTTATCTCTCGCCTTTACGAGAGAGTCGATCCCTTCGAGCTCGTGCAAGCGCAACGTGCTTAAGCGATTTAACGTAAACACACGTAGCAATTTGTCCCGGGCTTTATGTCGCCCTCGGGAAAAAGGAACCCACGCGCTTGTTCCGTACCGTTCAGGCTAGAAGAGAGAGAAAGACCCGGCGAGAGGTATCCGCGTAGCACGAGAGAACGTCGTACGAGAAGAGAAAAAAAGGAGTGCGATGTAGAACGAGAGGAAACAATAGAGAGCGGCTCGTTTTCTTGCTCTTTTGCCGATATTACGGCTGAAAGTAACGGGAGAAAATGCGCGTTTTACTTGTAACGATCCCAACGGCGAATTACGTATTTGACGTCTTGCCGCGCGAATTCTTTTCAGCGACGATTAATTGCGATCGCCAATTTTGTATCCTCGTCAGCAGCGGTGTGAAAAAGGAAGATTGTGTTAAAATCCCGGCTCGAGTGGTAGCGAATAAAGAAATAAAGTAGGCGAGTTTATCATCAAGCTCTGAGGCAGGGTCTTCGTAGACATTACGTCGTATCGACTCCGAGGTATATGCCGTGAGTATAAATTACCACATGCTTGTTCTCTGCGTATAGCACGTTATATATCACGCTATATCTAGATAAGCCGCCATTAGAATTATTAACGCGCGTGGCCGCCGCTGACTGGGATGCTCGTTTATTCGTGGTTATATGAAAAATTAGAAGGCGTAGCTTATCACACCGCCGTAACAATCTAAATCATTATCAGACAAGTTGAATGGAAATCACACTTCTAATATTAAAACTTAGATTTTTGTACGGATAAAAATACATCAAAATCATTATTTTGCACGGAAATTTCAGAGACAAGTAAATTTAAAACACAAACGATAATCAAGAGAAACAAAGATTGGACGAGCACAAAGAATGTTAAAATAATAGCAATTTTATACATAAAAATGACAAAGCTTAATATGAATGGCTTGGAATGTTTCGACTTTACAAAGCCTTCTTTAACCCATATAAAAAAGAGAATAATAATAAATAGAATTAAATTAAATAGAATTTAATAAAGTAAAAAGTTAAAAATTAAGACCGACGTGTGTCTTGGAACAACAAATTAAAACACATAAAAAGAAAGACAGAATAAGTTAATAAA